TCTTCCTACAATTTACATTTTTTTTTCTTGGGTTTGGCACCAGACCCCTTTATACAAAAACAAAATTTTTATTTTAAAAAATACGCCCCCCCCCCCCCCCCCCCCCCCCCCCCCGGGGAGAGCATCTTAATCCAACAGGGACACAAATTACTTACCGATTCAGTGAGCTTCAGTTTCCTAGTTTCAACGATTGCTTTAGCGATGTCGTCTATATTAGTCTCTAACTATTTTCAAATGCAGGCTGTTAAGCGCGAGTATTCGATAACCGTGACTTTATAAAAACTAACAACTCACTTGCAATTTCGTTATAGCCTCCAAATTAAGAGTAATTGTAAGAAAGCATTCGTCTAATTTATAGACTTCTTCTATACATTTTGCAATCTGAAAAAGACATTCAACACAGTTAATACATCATCTCCCGCTTTTTGCAAAATAATACGGTTGCGCCTACGTACATCTCCAAGATAAGTCGTTTCTAATCGGCCTTTGACTATTCTCGCTGCCTTTACGTCATATTCACTAACAAGCTTACACGTAATGATAGGTGTGCTAATTGTTTTCGTTGCATTGATAATTTCCTTAATGCGTGGCACACCAAGAGTGACATTCATAGAAGCAACACCGGCAAAATGAAAAGTTTTCAAAGTCATCTGAGTGCCTGGTTCACCGATTGATTGTGCTCCAATGGCGCCCACAGCTGTCCCTATTTATGTGATGAAGGATAGTATAAGCATAATCATACTTTATCAGGCATAAAATTTGCTTAAACTTACCAGGTTCGACTTTTGCATTCAAATATTTTTTCCAACAGATACCAAAAAACTGTTGAAGTTGGGCTTCTGTTATGTATATCTTTTGATTCACTACATGGTTAATCGCGGCTACAATACAGTTTTTGTTTGTTTTTTTTTGAGTTCAGTTACAGCGACTCTTGCTATGAAAACCACTTGAACGCTTGAAAATACCATTGTTATCGCCGTCCACTAACATCGGATCGTCGCCGGAATCGGGATTCTCATTACCAGGCCATAACCCATAACTTTCTCGTAATGATGCAAGTGGTTTCGCCAGTTCCGCATCAACGTAATCGTATATCGATTGAATAAATGATTCTGTACACATCGAGGTAAACCGGCTAGTCGAAAGCTCACGCCTGGTGATGTCCTTTATCTGATATGGAAGTAATCTTGGTTCATCAGGTGCCGCAGGACTTAGACCCTGGTATCAAAATTATGCATTCAGTACGTCGTTATCCAGAAAACCACGCCCAGTAAGAGCTCTAAGACTGTACCATTGCATGCTGCAGATTACGTTTCAAATCAACGGGTAAACCATCACCCTCTAGATAAGTAGGATCGAGACCATCGTCGCCATAGCAGAACTGCACCAATGATCCTGAAGCATTTCTCACTGATAGATCGTAATGAATAGTTAAATCTTCGAGAGCCTTTTCGCAAAAACGTCATGTTAATAAAAGTACACCTATTAAATAAACATGCAAAATAAATAATATTGATTTTATAACCTTCATCAATCTTCGTTGCATATAGCCCGTCTCAGCGGTTTTGACTGCAGTATCCACTAGACCTTCACGACCAGAAATTGCATGAAACAAGAATTCGGTTGGTGTTAATCCGCTATAGAAACTATTCCTAACAAATCCTCTCGCCGCAGGAGTCTTCGCTGTAACGAGACATAACAATTACCGTTTTAGCAACAAAAAAAAAACGCAAAGAATATTCCCAGATCACATCAAAGTCACTTACAATGTTTTAAGAAATGGGGTAGAGACCTGTCCTGAAATCCATCTGGAATACGACTGCCACTTATAATCTGTTGTCCAACGCATGCAACCATTTGAGATACGTTGATTTTCGATCCTAAACAGAATTATATGTTTAATTGATATCTTTGCCCCAGTGAATAGACAAACTTCCCATACCTTTTGACCCGCAAGTTGCCATAATAAGTGGTGCGTTGTATCTGTTGAGTTCTTGCATACATATCTGACCAGCATCATCACGAACTTTTGACAAGACACCAGAGATATGTGTCTACAATTCAGTATTAATACGAATAGCAGTCAATAATTGGAGCTTATCCCAAATAATTCACAGTATCAAGACTAAGTAAACATATTTACTTCCAAAGTCTGTTCTTCATTACAACCAGGTTGGTTCACCAATTTACCGCTTTTAGATCTTTCGATTAAATCGTCACAGGTCTTATTGGCGGACTCGATGAGTTCATCCTTCTTTGCTTTAAGCACTTCACCCGGTTGCACGTCATTGATACCAATGGAAAATCCGCGATTTGCTGAAGAAAAGTGATATAGCAAATTATTAAAACCATCATACTGTCTGTGCAAATGTACGTAAACAAAATATGGTTTAACATGGCTCACCCAACCATCTCGAGCATAATTTTGATAATCGATTCATTGCATTTGCTGCCTCAAATGATCCATAGTCTCTTAATATTACGTAAAATAACGAATGTTTATTTCCGTCGCCCACCAGCGACTTATCCACTACACCGCAAATCATCACACTGTTTCTGATAACCACATATCCTTCGTTAGGACAAAACTCGGGTGGTTTACCCTCCCTCTTCTCAAAAGATCTCCCTTTATTCTCCAAATTAACTAGAACTCTGGACTCTCTATTTGGTCTCATTAGTACGTCAAACACTTGCTTTCCCGTCCACAGCATCATCGGTTTCCATATTGTCGGCGGCGGGATATCAATGTGTAGATCGGCATCCGCCATGTATGAGCAAATTTGAACGAATTGTGATCTATCATAAAAGACATCTTTTTGCGTAAGTAGGTAAGATGAAGTGACAAAGTCCTGAATTGCAGCGATGATGGGTTCGCCATTACGAGGTGTCACAAGGTTATTTTTCACACCCATTAATTCGATAGCTTCTGTTCTGGCTTCCTCGGTTTGGGGAACATGGAGGTTCATTTCATCGCCATCAAAGTCGGCATTATAAGGTGTGCACACGCATTCATTGAATCGGAAAGTCCGCCAGGGTTTTACTTTAACCTGAAAAATAATTAAATGGTTGAGATTCGCGTCCCGGATCATACAGCAAGCACATGATATAACAGCAACGACGTACATAATGTGCCATAATACTGAGTTTGTGAAGAGATGGCTGTCTATTGAACAGAACAACATCTCCATCTGTGATGTGTCGTTCAACTATGTCACCAACGGATAGTTCTGCAGCGATCGCTTGTCGGTCACCGTACCTCAATAGCCTACGCAAAAGGATGTCAGCAATAAGATTTTACTATTCCAACATTCGCCATACAACTCATACGATTACTTCCCAAACTTACCTTTTGAAACCATTTCTCTGTGTCACAAAATTGGCTCCTGGGTGTACGTCAGGGCCATTAATGACACACTGTTGCAACTTCTTGCGATTGTGCTCAAACACTCGTTCTGGGTATGTCAAAACTTTTGCAACCAGTATTGGCACAGCAACCTTGTATAACATCTTTGCTTAGATAATACACCGAATGTAATATCATGCACTTGATAGGTCAACATACCTCGTCAATTCGTAGATTTGGATCAGGTGAAATAACAGTGCGGCCGGAAAAATCTACACGCTTTCCCGAAAGGTTACCGCGAAATCGACCTTGTTTTC